TTGGCTGTATTTATCCGAAAAACTTAGATTCTTTTTATAACATGAAATTGATAGAATACTTGATCCCGCACTGTACACCCGACGCGGGTACACAAACCGACCTTAGAGGCCTGTCGCTCCTGCTGTTGGATATCCAAAAGGTGTTAATTCATATTTAAAAGTATTGACTAGAATTGTTCTTGATTTCAATCAACTTAAGTTGAACTTAAGCAATTTAAGTAATTCCTACTCTTTTAAGACAATATCCGTTAGGTGTGTGTCATTTGATAACTATTTTGGGTTGGCTATAGACATCCGGTTCTTGATTTAAATAATGTTTTTAGTTTAGAAGGCCTGTTAGTGCGAAGCTTGAACCTATTATACTGTTTTTAGATATCAGAAATGTGTTTTGAATTAATAACGATAAACATAAATTTCACTAAAAATGGCTTATACCAAAATGCAAATATATCAATTTAGTCTAGTATTAATGAAGTAGACAGAGACGGTACTTGAGTTTTTAATTTTGTTTTCAATTTAGGAGATTTGTCAGTGTTAAGGTGTTCAACCTTTTACACTGTTGTTGGACTTCCGAAATGCCTTTTGAATTAATTACGATAAAAATAAATTTCACTAAATATTGCTTATTACTAAATGCAAATATGTCAGTTATCTAGTATTATGCTTATGTTAATTGGTCTAGTATTATGAAAAAGATGTTAGGTACTTGATTTCTTAATTTGTTTACAATTTAAGAAGTGTCAGTGTTAAGATTGAACCTTTTACACTAAACAACGCGAATATCATTGATATAATAAAAGGGGAAGATAGATCACTAAATCAAAGCGCCCGGTCCTACAAAACTACGGGATTGCCCGTACTTGGCTCGTAGTGACACTCAGTCGCGCGCGAAACGTCGTTGATCATACAGCTCTTTAATTTCAGTTCTTTTGGTATTAAATACGCATTAAAATGACTTCTTGTGCAGCTAAACAGTGTGCTAATAATTCAAGAAAGAAAAATAAGATACACGGGATTACTTACTACTCGTAAGTATAGCTAAAAATTCTATTTTGTTGAAAATTATGGTAATATTTATTGTCGACTTCGCCATGTTTGTAAGAGCGAGATAGATAATAAAAACATGCGTGAGAGACACGATACGCACGCGATGCCCGATTTGCGCGCCTCGATCTACTAGACCGAGGTTACGTAAGGTTAGCAACACAAATTTCTTTGATTAAACATTGATATTTTTTTAAATACCAACCGTGGTTATTTAATTAACTTATTCCAAAATTTGTATTTACCAAGACAAAATAGTGTTGTTTTTATTAAGTGACTGTTAGTAAGTATAATTATATTTTATAATTTTACTTATTTATTTATGCTAATATGCATAATGTACCACACATAAGGCGAACTCCATATTGTAGGCCCTATCGCAAAATTTCCAAAATATAAAACGTTCAACCAATTCATAAAATGGTGACATTTAATGGACATTTTTATTATTCAGGTTTCCTAAAGATGAATTAAGGAGACAAAAGTGGCTTGTTGTTATCCGAAAACAAAGACAGGATCCTGATTGGACAACTACAATACATAGTCGATTATGCTCAACACATTTCAAATCAGAAGATGATATATGCAACCAGCAAAGGGTTAAAAAGGATATCAGCAGGGGCTGTACCCTACTTTCAGGTACGTGTGAATCTAACAGTAATCAACAGTTAAGGGGTTCTATTAACGTATGGAAATTTGTAGATAACACTACTAAGGATCATTTCAAATTACAAAATTAAATTATTATATATATATTATATTATAATATATATTACAAATTAAAATTTTCATCTCGAATTATTTTTCGGTATAATTCGCGGGTTATAATAATAACCCAAATGTACGACAATTTCAGGGAATTTATAGAAAAGTGTTAGGACACTTAGAACTGCGTTCTTCTCTCTCGGGAAATTGTATACCACTTGATAATTTTCCACTACTTACATGCTCCTCGGCTGTTGAAAACATAAATAGAACTGTTGGTAGAAATGCTCAAGATTTGGTAAGTACTGTTGAAGATTATTCTATGGCAGATATTTATGGCGGTGAATCATTTAAAAAGCACAAAGTTACACGTAGTGGATCATATATCCGGGTGAGAGATATAAAAGGAAGCAGAAGTCATGTAAGTGATATTACAGCCGAAAATAATGTGGAAATATTATCAAATATTTTAAACAATCAAAATAAACTGTCAGTAAGTGCTGAACAAATAATAGGATATATAGCTGGGTGGGTCGCAAGGGCATTAATAAAAACAATTAAATGTGAGATATGTGTTACGGAGTTGATTACTAATGAAAAGCTAAGTTTTCATAAATTAATTAATTTAAAGGATATGGGGGGCTTGTGCTATCCATCTTATGATTTATTCAAGATATGCCTTAAGTCCGAAAGAACAATTAAAATGTTTTTTAGAGAAAACCATACTCAACATTTTCTTTGTGTGAAGCAAATACTTCGGCTAAAATTAAATGTGATACAATCTTTTGTGAATTCAGATATTCTGTCTGCTTTAGAAATTCATTCATTAGTTAGCTACATTTAACCATAGAATACATCTGAACAATAGTTGACAAATATTGTGATGTCAGAGTCCATTATTTTCATAAAATAGATCCGGCAATATCAAGTACAACAAAACGACAAAAACAAAACAAATTATCTTTATTTGAATGTGTATAAGTACTAATTCATCTAAGTGTCTTATTTAGTAAAAATATAAAATAAATACTGTTATTATTTCTTTTTTTTGATGTACCTAATTAATAATTAAACTACTTAATGTTTTTCTTTCGTTATTTATTAGCTAACGCTACCACGATGTCATTCATAATCATAAACATTCGGTGGCTAACGCGATTTCGCTCGCACAACTACGATGTTTCCTATTTCTGTCCTTGTCTACCGTTAAATGTAATTTTGCGGTTACGATAACAGATGTGTAAGTTTTGGTGCTTGTAGTCGTGCGCCGAGCCCAGGTTTAGTGATTGCGATATTAGCGTGTAACATATCTTCCCCTTTTAATATATCAATGGCGAATATATCAATTTTTTAACAACCTATAAAAAAGTTTATCACTCAAACCCAGACAACCCATTTGTGGGACTCATATACAACGAATTGAATCTCAGTGGAGAGCAGTCAAGAGGTTTTTCAGAAAACAAAATTATAACAATTGACATTACTTTGTTTTAAACAGAGTTTAGGGCAACCTGACTTTATAGATATGATCGGTTGAATCTGTTCTAAAACCAAATCAGCACGCCCCAACTCAAATAATAATGTCTGCCCCACCCCTAGTGATTTTGTAAAGCCATAGGCGCGGTGGGAGGGCAGCCCACGGCCACCAGAGGCGACCATTAAGCCAAAGTTTCAGAGGTGAGCATGGATGTTACAGAAGTAACTTTAAGTCAATATTTCTGTGTAAAAAGTGAGATTATGATTTTACAAAAAAAAAAAATTATTATTTATAAACTTTACATTCCTACAAAGGGGAGGTGTAGGCTTATTCAGTACCCACCCCCTCCCTCTCTCGTATGCAGTACCTGCTATCTAGTGTTACCACTTTTTTCTTATTTATTAATTTTATTAAACAGTTCAATACTGAACTTGCGTCACTTTGAGGGCAGACAGCTATAGCTATTTATATGTGATAACACAAATGGGTGGACTCAACGAAGAAAAGATCAGACTCACGCAGATTACCAGCTTGAAAAGCAGCTGAATAGTACTATTAGCTTAACCTGTAAACCAAGCCATGCGCACTTTTGATCGTACAATACCTACCTTACGTCCGCCAAGTAGTGAGCTAATTTGATCAGAATTATGTAAATGTGTGTACCTATGAAAAAACTATTTTTTCGTTTTAAACAAAACCAAAGACACTATGCAATAGATAATAGTATCAAAGACAAAGATATGCTCTTTTATTTTAAACCATAACATGGCAATGTTTCTTAGAAAAAAAAAAAAAGAAATCACTCTGAACTTTCGGCGTTCCACGTGTCGTTTTGATGAAGGTGCTCCATCTTTTTTTATAGAATTTTATATTTGTGTCTGAACTAAAAACTGAAGTATTATACTTTTTTATATTCCTTGTAATATAGTGAACACATATATATATAATTTGTGGTATAAAAAGTGAAAAGTAAATTGCCAAAAGTGCTTCAAAATCTGGAAGGCCCATTATGGCAGCTGGGTCATAAATGTGTTATTTTTCAAATTCTAATTTTAATTTATTTTTAGTGTAAAATGCAAGTAAAAATAGTTTTCTTACATATTTCAAATAACTTGACGTTGTATTTATTTCAAATTCACACAAAACTATTTTAGAAATATTGTTCTAAATGTCACACAGATAAAATATTATTATTATTTTTTTTAATTTTTTAATATTTTAATATTTTGGTATGAGTAACGAATGGAAACACATAAAACATAAAAATATACATATTTCCAAACATTTTCATATAAATTTCTCTAAAAACAAAAGTGTAGAATTCAAATTAGTAGTAATTTTGTCACTAAAATTGAAGTATATACCACTACTATGCTATACCGTCTAATTTACGTATTTTATTACAATTTCTAGCAACCAAAAATAATTTTATTCGATAGTTTATACATTCAACAGGAATTCCTGTAAGTTTTATCCATAAATATTGTCTCAAAGTGAAAATATAGCAAAATTTGCAATATAGCAAAAAATTTGCTAATTTGCAAATTTTCCCGCCATTACGGTCCCGACGGAACGGGAGTATAACATGTCGCGCTCTCGCTTGGCGAACAGGTTAATAGTGTTTTGTATTGTGAGTGCAGGCTGTTTATGACAAAGCACCTACATTTTGGTTCTTAATCAACCTTGATGTGGATGTCTATGAACTACTGCATCTACCCACCATCAGGTGAACTGTGAGCTCTTTTGTCATCCTTATTCTATATAAAAAAGTTACCTTATAATTATGAGGTATAACAGGTGATATTTGTCGACACACTAATCTCACTCCATATTTTGACAAGTCATAAGTTGTCCAGGCTCGAGGATACAAGGCAGTGTATTCACATTCTGAACCATTTAGCTTCCATTCCCACGATGCAGGTGCTTTTTTCGGTTTTCTTTAATAAAAGAAGAAAAAAGAAAGCAATGATATACCACTAAGCTAATGATCAATTTAAAAAATATAACTATGCCTATCTTATTTTAATCAATAACTTACTTACCTATAAGTGGATAAAACAGATTGAAATATGGTTTCATGTTTAGCATTTCTAATATTTATAATAAACTGACATTCCGGGATTGTAACATATTCATAAATACCAGGACACAGTTGAAAGCGACAAAATTCTCCTTTGTATCCTCTACCAATTGTACCACCACCTATGCCCCCAATAGGACAACCTACATAATATAATAATAATTATTATTATTATAGTAAATGAAAAATAAATGTATAAAAATAAAATACAGAAGTCTTACAACTTACCATACATTCTTTGGGCTGAAATCATATTTACATAATCCATTATAGGGCGCTTTCTTTGCATTTTTCGTGCTACATAGTATTTCAAATATCTAGAAAAAGAATGTGAAAAAAAGTTAAAATCATTATGTATAATTATAAATATTCCTTAAAAATTTCACGTAAAATTATACCTATACCTTGCCGAAAGAGGCATCATTTCAAATATTTGTTTAGGTCTAGGTACAATAATTTGTTTGCTCTGACGAGGAAATACATGATCCAGTGATAATTTTAGGCCTATTATAGGTGGTTCGTCAAATTTCGTTCCTTGGTCGCCGATAGTCTCCATTTCCATTTTATTAACTTATATTACAACCTTTCTGTATGAATAATAATTGAATTAAAAACACTTTATCTGAAAAATGTGTGATAGTCAAAAAATAATTCTGACAATTGATAACAATGAGATAAATATATCGCTTAAAAAATCGGAATTTACTGAAACGCCTGAATAAATGAAAAGTGTAATGGAGAAAACTGAAAACCAACTGACAATGACAATTGAACTGACAGCTAAAAGACCACAGATTATCTATCCCGTATTTTTTATTAACTGGCTTTATGACTCTGGGTTCTTGCTGGCCCTTCTGCGCCTATCATTTCTTTCGGAATCTTAATTTTTATATTCTTTTTCGTCAAATATGCTGATGCATCATATTGCGAAGCTCTTGGAAGATTTTGACGACAGCTCAACCCAGCGGACAGTAGATGACGACAGCCACTCAAGTTCATGAGGCACCCATGCGATCAAAATAACTTGAGGTTTATATCGAAATCAAAGCACTTGTTTCGTCATTTTCTCTAATAGTTCACACGCGTGGAAACTTAATTAATAAAATCGCATCACTTTCACAAATCAAAATCTACTTCGAACCATTATTTAAGCGACAAAACAGGAGCGACAATCCATCTACGGTAAAGTTCCCGCCAAAACTCCCTGTCCCGTATTCCATAGGTTAGTACATGGAGGTTAGAGAGAAGGAGAACGAACGCTGTCGAAAATAGTGTCCCAGAAGTATGGAGAAAATAAGTGAGGCACTTCGATCGCTAAGTTGTCTCAATAAAAGCGGCCTGTTGTGCGCTAGTATGAAATGATCTATCACCATCAAAGTAGGTCTGTCATATCGAATTCGAGCATTTACATGAGCTAACAGGATATAGTTGCCGACACGAGTCGTGAGCACAGATAAACTGTGGTGTGACGTAGGTACACTGTCGGGCAAAATTACTGGGTACCTTTATTATTTCAATTCTTAATTAAATATTTTCGTAGACTTTTATGAAAATGTTTACTCGAACACATCAACTTTTACTTTGATACAGTAATGTTGCAGATATTCATGTCCGTTATTTTATTATCTACTATAAAATGTTTAATGTATACCTGGTGGTTAGAATTGATTATTTAATTAAGAAGAAGGAAGAAGTGATATGCCTTCCATAAAATCTGGTGTTACGGTGCACCGTACAGTAGCTACTGAGACATTAGTCGCTTTTTTTTTGCGCCCGAAGCAATTAAAGGGCTACCCTATACGTAGGGAGGCGGAAAATGCATTACGCATACCACAATAGCCGGTCTATCGTGGTTATGAGGGACTCACTGTCCTACCGGGGACCCTAAGTGATACCCTCTAAAAACCGCCTTTGTGGACAGGCAGCCGGCTGATTAAGCTGTATTGTGCCTTATCGTGACCGACCCCCTACATTAGTCGCCTCAGCAGTCTGTTTATATACGTCTATGATGTTTTTCGCAGTACCCAAATTTTTCATGTAACTAAACAATGAATAGACCATTTGTCGGGATTGTCTATTTAACACCGAATTCCTCCTTCTCTGTATATTTAGACCAAAATCTGAACACTGAAATTATAACAACAAAAATAATTAAAAACAAGAAATAAAAAAAATCAAATAATAACAAGGAATACACAAACAACAATTAACAACGAGGAAACAAAAGTAATTAACGAAAATAAACTTATTAAAAAAGTTATCACTAAAATTATTGCTTTGAAGTGTACGGAAGCCGAATGATACGTTCGATACCAATAGACGACGAGAGTCAACTGATGAACCAATCACGTTGAACGTCAGCGTGGTCAACGTTGTATCGCCCAATAAAAAGTATGCTCACGACTTATGTATATAATATCATTTAAGGGAAAAAAAGAAAATAACGAAATTATTATTATTTATTAATAAATATTATAAATTATGTTTTTCATAATTTAAATTATTATAAATATTATACATTATTACAAATTTTGAGAATTTACTAACTTGTAAATCTTGTAATTAGCTTTAATTTCAACAATTTCTTAAAAGTTCAATAAAAATTAATTTAGTTAAAAAAACATGAATAATTAAGCAAATAATAATTTTACATATACAATATTTTAATTTAGCGCAGCTATGAATCGATAACGTATGAAGATATTACCTTCGGTACTTTAAATAACGAGGATTGACGTAAACGATTTTTCAGTCAATTTTTCCGATCGGATGCTAAACCACTTGCACATCAACACACAATACAATATTTTACCATTTTTAATGTAATCTTTCTGTCAAAAATTAAAAAATTACGGAGCACGATTATTTTCTCACCAATGCCGTGCAGAAAATTTGCACATTATTCAACTAACTCCATCTACTTGTATTCAAACAGCTAACTTCGCAGACACTACTTACTGACGGCAATCCAGAGACAGGCGGCATATGCTTTAGCACGTAGCGATCGTTCTCCTTCTCTCTAACCTCCATGGGTTAGTATATACCATAGAGATATAACACCTATGGAGGTGGCTTATTCTACTGTTGTACTATTTCAAGATCAGGTAGAAAATAAAAGGGTTGATTCCAACTATTACACATTATTTCAGTTTCTTCAATACTATTTGGAGTCCAGGTAGAAAACAAAACGTTTTACAAATAAAACTTATACACAATTCAACTTCATTTCACGTCTTACTGCGATGACTCGAGTTGACCTAATGCCACTCTCCATTTACTTATCAACGTTTCGTACTCGTTTGCAGGGTGGGGCTGCATCATTTCCGCCCCACTCTTTTACAGAAATCAAAGCATTATCCTTCCGGTTAAATTATATTACTCTATATATTATCCGCAATCATTAATGTTAACAACTAATGGTGATTATAATATAAATTTAAATCGAGTAATTCTATTATATAACAGATATATATAAACTTTATAATAGTTATTAACCTAACATTAATTTAACAATAATAGAAACCTAAACCTAACGATACTATAAAAATAATTATTATACAAATAGATATTTGTATAATAATTATTATATTACATAATAATTATTGTAATATACAAGTGTGTGTCGATATTATAGATATAATATCGACACACACTTGTCAAGAACAGTTATGTTTCTTTTCAATAAAGCAGTAGCTTCATTAGAAAAGCGAGACCACTACAGTTTGTTAATCGCTTATTTTGACACGTCGTTAGCTCATTCGTGCGTGATTGCGTCGCCATGTTAAGCGCCGAGTTTTGTGATAGATCTGCTGTCAAACTGTTGCATGCTAAAAGTTTGTTTGTGTAGTGCAGTGCTTTCATCTTATCAATAGGTGGTAGGCATTGATATATATTACACTAGATCAGTAATAACCGCGCCAAAGCGTTGCCACTGCACATGTGGCCACAGCCATATGCCTAGCTGACGTCAGTTCAGTGTTCAATGTGACGCCGATGGAGTTGAGCCGCGACAAAAATGGGTAAATGCGTAATGAAAGAATGCTATTCAAGGTCACAAAAACGTAATAAATCAAGCGGAATCACTTTCAACACATAATTTTTAGTTCTTGTTTTCATATAAACGTAAAAAACCTCAAATAATTAAATAAAATTATCGAATATTGCCATTTAGGTTCAATGTTGCCACTTTTCCGCATTTGTTATTATCCTACATTAATGGGAGACTATATAATTAATGGAGTAAGTTAATTTATTACCTATGATTTTAAATATTTTCGAAATTATAATAAAAAGCACGTTTTAATTTTCGTACAAAATAATTAATTATTCCTATTACAGTTTATTCATGAATTTTCTATTTTATATTAATATTTTTTTATTAATTATAATTTCATATAAATTTAATATTAATTATAATTTCATGTAAATTTTATATTAATTATATTTTATTACCTATTTTATATTGTTTGATTTATTAGTCAAATGACAAAAGAAGGAAATATGTAGTTTGTCCCAGTAAGCTTCTAAAGACAAAATTTTCGCATAATCATTTTTGCTTCCTGGGAGGTTACCTTTATAATAAATTTAAATAAACTTTTGTCAATTTACTCTCTACCAAAACATGCATGTAAACAAAAATTACAGAAGTGGTTGCTAAATATCGATTATATGGCTGCTGAAAATTTACTGAGAGTATTATCCTAAAAACACATAACCCTACACAAATGAGTGCACACATACACTCACACACACACACACACACACACACACACACACACACACACACACACACACACACACACACACACACAGTATGGACACCAGTATCTCACAAAGGTCGTCAAAATTATCTACAATCGTATTATTTAAGAAATAATGTGAAGTTATATACCTTTGTGAAGAGAAAAATATAATGATTTAAAATAAAATGAATACTTATAAAAATATGTTTTATTTCATCATTATGTTTACTTCTATTCATCTGATAAGCTTTGTATCCTTTTTTTCTAAGGGGACGCAATAAAGATTTTAAAATAAAATATACTTTTTTTAATACAAAAACAATTAACTGCAGCTTAAAAAAAACTCATTTTTATTGCGTATTTTAGGTAAAATTTCATATAGTAAGCCACACCAACCCGCCATTGCATGTTTGTGTGTCTATCTTTATCTAATCTTAGTGACGATATTGTTTTCGCAACTTGTGTAAGTGAGATAGATATATGTTTATTTAAAATTGTTATTAGTTTCAAAGCTACGTCGTCGCGTTTCGATAGTGGTTACACGTTTTCCGACGCGCGGTAATGTGGTTTGCTCCTCTAGTGTTGTATAACTCTATATCTTTCCGCGTCGAGCGCTGTCGCAAACCGGTTGTTTTCTTTTGCTCCGCCAATAAATATACTTCTATCCGCGTGGCGTACTTTACGTGTTGTCGCTAAGCGTGAACGTCCGACTGTGAGTTGCATCGTGCACAGAGTAGCTTGTAATCAGAGAGCTCGATCATTATGTCGAACACTACAAACAGTACCTTTATTCATGAAGTGGAACATACACCGAGGTCAC